GTTTTTTTTTTAGGTGGCGCATGCGCATTTAGTTTTTGTGTAATTTTGTGTCTGCGCATTGTTCAGCTTTTTTTGCCAACTTGCACTTTCATGCCTGATGTAGGGAAAAGGTCTGAGCATTTGAGAGTCATTCAAAGTATCTTTTAAAATTTATGATTTAATAATGAATAGCAGTTTTAAAGTCACAAATGGTTCCGAGGAACGAAACATGCATTCGAAACTCATTAATCAACTTGGTTTAAGGCTTCAAAACACTTTTCCCTTGATAAGTTCTGTTTGAAGCGTTACACAGAAGACATTAGTCTTTAGAGCAATTTTTTTTGTAATTTGTGTAGTTATGTCTCATGTTATGTGGTTTTTTAATTTCCTTTAACAATTCTGTTTTTAATTGTTACCTTGATTCGTGTTTGCTCAGTATTTGTAACCTTTGTCTGGAGAGAGAAATAGGTAGATCTTTATAATTTTTGGAACAAACTTTTTATTTAATTTATGCTCCGACTTTTATTTCTTTTGATTTACTATCATCATATATGTGTGATTGTTGATTGAAATAATTTGGATGCATAGGATGTAGATGCTTAAAAATTAGTTGCTGTCATGACTGAATGTCTTTGATCATAACTGATAAATTGGTGCTAAGCAGACCCAGTCTTGAATGAATTTTTCGTTTTTTAATACATTGTAGTAAGAAAACATTGACAGAATCTATTTAGACAGAAACAAAGGGTGAATGTGGCATGTCCAAGATAAGAGTTTTTTTTTTTTTTTTTTCAGAATGTTTAGTTTCAGTTCAGATTTGCTCCCATTGGCTAATTTTATGTTTTGGTCCCCAAATTAGATTGGTTGAAATGTTATGCAGTTACCTGCACTGTAGTGTTGTGCAAGAATTATATGGGATTGAATAGTATTGAAGTGATACAGTTCAGAAAGATTTATTATAAACAGTTATCATTTTTAATATAGAAAGGGTAAGTAGCCAATTAAAAAGTGTGTTTGGGAACTTTTGGAAATTAAAGTTAAACTTTTGATTTACAGTTTTTTTTTATCTTGCATGTATGTATGTGTACGTGTGTTATTATAAAATACACTCTTAGGGAAAAAAATGTACCAAGAAGGAGTTATCCAAATGGGACAAAAATTGGTAGAAGTGATATATATGTACAGAAAAACAAATACACTCAAAAGTCATTAATTCGGACACCCATAAACCGGAATGATCTATAATCTGGACCTCAAAGCTACAAACTTTCTGCACATGTGTCAATTATGGCTGCGAATTTGCGTGTGCGTGTGCGCAAAATACGTTTACGAATGCACGTTTAATGTATAACGGACGGTATAAGCTAAGCTAAAATTATATAATTATCTATTTCAGTTAATGTTGCAGATTGCGTTGTTCCCTAATCTTCGAATTGGATCCGGCTTATTATTTTTTGCAGACTGTTAGAGCAATTTTATAAAAGTAAGCTTGAACTTTCGATTATGTCAGATAGATTTTCCGATATATATTTACTAATATGTTTCGGAGTCTATTAAACAAAAAGTGGAATTGCTGCAAAAAATGGATAAAGGCATATCCTTTGTTTATCTAAACTTTAACGTTTGTTTATCTTTAACACCATGGCGTGCAATGAATTGGAAGTTGATCTGTCAGCACTATCCTTATCTTCAGGGTAGATGTTTTTATTTTATTTGGCTTATAATTGCTTACTAAATGTAGTATTTCATCTCGATGTACTCCGTCTTTGATATGATTTAAATCAAATGCCTCGTCATTATAATTCGCTTCTGATAGCGAAGAAAGTAACAGAGGTTATTAACACAAAAAAATTTCAATTGACAAATTAGTCGGTATTCTCGACACAGCAATTATAGGACTTGAACAGCGGAACTTTGTAACTGAGCAAGAAATTATGCCTGTTTATAGAATTAAAGAGAATGTATTATCACATAAAAAACAAAGCAACTTAAACAACTTACATTGAAAGAAGTGTTTAATAAAGTAAACAAATAAATATTAAGCTTTTTTTTTTTTGTAAATTTTGATACCCTTTAGATCATAATTGTTCTTTATTTCGTAAATTACGTTTCATATTTTTAATTTTATAATTTCTGCATGGCATTTTACCAGATTTAAACTGATGATCTATAATCCGGAATCGTCGAAGTCCCGACGAGTCCGGATTAACGACTTTTGACTGTAATTACAGTTTGAGAAAAATTGGATGATTTATTGAAGTGTTACAGCTTCACAAAGTGAAAAAGTCAGTAACACGTTTGTCCACCTCTGGCCCTTATGCAAGCAGTTATTCTGCTTGGCATCAATTGCGGATGTTCTCCTGAGGTATATATCGTGCCAAATTCTGTCCAACTGGTGCGTTAGATCGTCAACATACCCAGCTGGTTGAAGGGTCCTGCCCATAATGCTCCAAATGTGCTTGCTCAATAGGAGAGAGATCCGTCGACCTTGCTGGCCAAGGTAATGTTCGGCAACCACTAAGACAAACAGTATAAACATGTGCAGTGTGGGGGTGGGCATTATCTTGCTGAAATGTAAGCCCAGGGTAGCGTGACATGAAGGACAACACAACGGGCCTTAAAACTTCGTTGATGTACCGCTGTGCTGTAAGGTTGCGATGGATGACAACCAAAGGGGTCCTACTATGAAATGAAATGGCACCCCAGACCATCACTCCTGGTTGTCGGTCTGTCTGCTGGAAGACAAGTTGGTATCACACCATTGTTCGGGGAGTGTTCAGACTTGCCTTCGCTTGTCATCGGGGCTCAGTTCAAAGTGGGACTCATCACTGAAGACTATGCTACTCTAGTCAGTGACATTCCAGTGTGAATGAGCCCGATACAACTGCAAACGGGCTTGACGTTGTAGAGAGGTCGATGGTAGTCGGCGCAAGGGGCACTGTGACCACAGCCCCCATTCTGAGAGCTGCCTATGAATGGTCACTGAAGCACTGGTTGCACGTACAATTGATGATAATGATGCATCTGGGACTGTGAGTGCCGCTCTGACGATTGCTCGGTTTTCACGTTCTGTCATTTCTCTAGGCCTACCGCTTCCTTCTTGATGCTGTGTGCAGCCATGGTTCACCCATTCCTGCCAACATTGTCTAATAGAGGCATTGCTTCTGCTCAAATGTCGAGCTATTTGCCGATAAGACCAACCAGCTTCTTTGAGCCCAACTACACAACCTCTCTCAAATTCTGACATCTGCGCATATTGTTTGTGCACCTGTATGCGAGGCATAGTTTGTCTACCAGAGTACACGGAATGAAATTCATGAAGAATTTATGATCTGGAATCGTAATTTCTCCTCTTAAATATCCTGCCAGTTGCACAGATCAGATGCACTGTAGCGACAACCGCTCATTCATTGGCAGCCAAAATGTAAAATTTTGCATTTTCCGTCAAAACTTGTATGCATATCAATCTGTGTCCAATTTGCTTTATATCTTCTCGGTGCATCGTGGTGCGACGCTTTTTTGTCTAAGAGGGTATGTGAAGGAAATTTCTGATTTTAATTGGCAAAACCCTCTTTTTATGCTTCAACTTAATTTAGGTATTTCCCCTTTCTGTCCTAAAAATAGGCACTATTTATAATGTAGCAATCTAAAGTGTTATTTCAAAATCGATCTGTATCATGCGATCGTACATAATCCTGCAGTGCAGATACCTTTTAGCCAATCACTGAATAACGTTTCAAATGAAACCAAAATCTTTTAACACTCTCTCCAGCTTCTTTTGAATGTGTTGACGATTTTCCGCTTGCTTGTTTAAAACTAACATGCACGGGCTCTCTTCTCTATCATCCACTGTCCGATGATGTGCTAAGCTTCCAAATATGTGGTGTGCATATTGCGCCTATAATGATGTGAGTCCGAATAAGCATCTGAAAAATTATTTTATCCAATAATAAAATTATGTTGTATCGATGGCTAGTTTGGTTGCAAGTTTCATTCTTCTGTCTATAAAATAAACATCTCCATTGTTATTATACATATATGAACAAATACGCATATATCATATTTTTTAATATAAGCCAAGAGTGCAATTTTTTCCCCTTAAAAAATTTACCCAAAATTCAAAACCCTAATATAAGCCAGAATGAAAAGAGAACCTGTAATGCCCACACATATCACCATGAGGGTGGAAATGTTGCCAAGCAGGTGAAGCAAGTGGAATATTTTCCAAACAAATTGCTGTAAAGTAAAATGTTAAAGATAACAGCAATAATTTTAACTCGATAACCTTTGTGAGTTGTCTAATAAACCCAGAGAGCCCTTGTGTGCATTGCCATATCCAAATAGCCAACCAAATGGAATTACCAGGATTGATGGGATACCATCGGCTATAACCATCATCTTTTTAATGTTGATTATTGTGATAGTATAATTTTCAAAAGGCAAAATCTGAATATATATGCATTGTTTGAACAAAATGCTCCATAAGCTGCCATTTAAGGCCATTTAATTTTATGTAGAACAATTCTTTAATAAAATTTATTTTATAATTGATTTCATTCTTGTTTAAGAAACATATATTCCAAAAAGTTATCTTGAGTCTCTATTTCAGTTTTAGTTTCATAATTTTTATCTTTTTTTTCAGGAGTTATTGAACCTTTTCAAAGGTTGTGGTTAAAGGTGTGCTTAAAAATCTTCCTTGAATGTCAATATTCAGTATAGTGATAACTTTATCAACTTTTATTTGAGTGTAATTGCTAAAATTACTTTAAAAGGAATGGAGCATAGTTTAGAATATACTGAATATAAACTGTTTCTTTGTTCCTGGTTTTGGCATTTTTTTCTATCTTTTAACATATAATTTTTTAAAAAAATATTTGACTGCCATTACTTGTGTGCAAATTTCTTAATGATTAATTATTTTTCAAGAATTTTTTTTTCTGTATTTTATTTGCATATTTGGAATAGTACTGCTGAAAACATATAATTGTATGATATTCATTGACATATTTTTATATTTGAAGAGGATTCAGTTGAAACAAGCAGCAGTAGTGGCACAATGTCTCCAAGTATGAGTAAATCGGACTACATTGCATTCAAAACATCTCCAGTAAATGTATTATCAACCAGTGGTTTTACTACCTCTACTACTGCATGTGAGGGATTTCCAGTATCATCTCTGCAAACAAAGGCCAGTACCATAATCTGTGACAGTATTAAAAGTAATGGATCATCTGGGATCAATGCTAAGGAGAGAGAGCCTACCAAGCTAATAAGACCTCTAGTGCCTAACCATAGTCACAGGGATAGGCTTTGGCTGAATTTAGATCGCTCTGTTCAAGAATCACGCAAGTGTGTAGGTAAGAAAAATTGGTAGAATAATTTAAATACCAGTGTATTTTCTATGTTATAAATAGCAAATTTTATTGTATATTTTTCATATTAAGTGGTGCATGTATCAAATAAGGTAACTATTAATGCACATAATTGTTGGCAGTTGAGTTATCCAGTCAATAACTATTGACCCGAGTTAGGGAAGACTTCAGGTTGTTGTTCATTAGCATGAAATTCTCCCATTAATATCTGCTACATCTTTAGGCAAGGCAGCCTAATATATATATTTATATGTAAAATATAAAAAATACAATGGCTTTGCTCTATGGGAACAGGCAGCCTCTAATTAACTTTCCACAATTTCAGGATCTTCCACCTAGATCAGTACTTTCGAGAAAATTCTGGCATGTTTCGTAACCGCTGCTATAAATGAAGAGTTCACGCCATTTCCATCAGCATCTACTTCATCTATCATATCTTGTAATTCGGCCTCTGTAGGATTTTGACCAAGAGATCATATAACAGTGCCTAATTCTTTAGTTGTGATTGTGCCATCACCATCTCTATCAAACAATGAAAAGGCCTCTTTGAATTCTGCTATTTGTTCTTCTGTAAATTGGTCAGCCATTTTAATACAGTACGTAAATAAAACAGAACAGTAACACAACACAAAGCTACAGCAACTGCTTATGAGGCAGAATTACAGAACTGCTCATTACTTATTCCCAATTATGACCTTTTAATACATGATTTAGACCTAAACCCTAACTATGACAAATTATTTTTCCCATCTTGACCTTTTCCTGCCTTTCCTTCTTCCCAGAGTTTTCCCATTCAAAAATTGTTCTGTCCCCCTTCGCCCAGGAGATGAGGGGAGGGAAAACTGTAACCCATTTTTGCATTGCACTGAAAATATCGCCCTCTTACCAGATTCTCAATGAAAATGAATGTATTCTTTTCTTTTTTGGACACTAGATATTACACTATGTGTGTTACTTCTTCCGTCCTCTCTTTAGAGAGGAGTAAGAAGTGATACCACATGTCCGATGCCCCCCTAGGTAATACTGCTAACACCCCCTCAACATTTTTATCTTTTTATTTTATTGTTAGGAGAGTCAACTATAGTTAAGAAATTGACTTAGATTTCTGGAGATTTCCATACCAGCCACTATCCTCTGACCATAGTTTAGCACAGAAATGCTACCACATACACAAACACATTTATTTCACGTAATTTTATAACACAAATTTTCTTTATTTTTCTTTCCTGCATAATTCTGTAACAAAATTTTCTTTTCTTTCTTCTTGTTGTAGGGTAATATTCATTTTTAGTTTCCAAAATTCTAAAAAAGACTAACTTGATCACACAAGTTATTTGTCTTAAATTTTATTTTGTAGGATTTTGTATTTTTTACAAAGCACTTTGAAACAATGTACAATGCCAAAAACCAGTTACCTTTTACTAGGCAAAGGAGGGTTTTTGATATTTTGTACTTAAGCACCCCCCCAGCCATCAGCAAATTAATCGTACTGATTTGTTGGAGAGGACATACCAAAGATTTATTTCAAGGTCTTATTGTCTTATAAAATATTGCATCATATTGTTAGAGATTTATATTGAATTGTTTTCATAAGGTACAGTCAAAAGTCTTTAATCCTTACTCGTCGGAACTTCGTCGATTCCGGATTATCATTTTTTTTTCGGATTATAGATCATCAGTTTAAATTTGGTAAGATGGCATGCAGAAATTATAAAATTAAAAATGTGAAACAGTAATTTATGAAATAAAGAGCAATTATGATCTAAATTGTATCAAAATTTACAAAAAAAAGTTTAATATTTATTTGTTTACTTCATTAAACATTTCTTTCTATGCGCGCATGCGTAAAGCATACATTGCGCATAGTCGAAATTAGAAAATTGCAACCAGAAAACTTTTTGATGTCTATTCGCGATATTTATAATGACGAGGAATTTGATTTAAATCATATCAAAGACGGATTACATCGAGATGAAATACTACATTTAGTAAGGAATTATAAGCAGAATAAAATAAAAACATCTGCCCTGAAGATAAGGATAGTGCTGACAGATCAACCTCCAGTTCATTGCGCGTCGCGTCGTCCCCCCCCCCACACACAGAGCAGCGTGAAATTGATAAACAGATTTCAGAATGATTAGAGAATCAAAGGATATGCCTTTATCCATTTTTTGCAGCAATTCCACTTTTTGTTTGATGGACATCGAAACATGCTTTCGCTTTGTAGATCCTTTGGTAGCTCCAGAATCGGAAATTCTTTTTGACATAATCGAAAGTTCAAGCTAACTTTTATAAAATTGCTCTAACACTCTGCAAATAATAATAAGCCAGATCCAATTAGAAGATTAAGGAACAACACAATTTGCAACATTAACTGAAATAGATAATTAAATAATTTTAGCTTAGCTTATACCGTTCGTTATACATTAAACGTGCATGCGTAAACGTATTATGCGCATGTATAGACGCATATGCGCATTTGTAAAGGTATTATGAGCATGCGTTAATGGGCAGAAAGTTTGTAGCTTTGAGGTCCGGATTATAGATCATTCCGGATTATGGACGTCTGGATTAAAGACTTTTGACTGTATTATATCATAATGTTTCGTATTTGTGTTACTGCACCATTAATGTGGTGTTGTTGGCATGACCACCAAAAGTGATGATACTATGAATATCAAATACAAATTAATTCCACGTAAATACATTAAACTATAATTTAGTGGTTAGTACATTGCATGATGATCTTTACTAAATAGAATAACATGACTTACCCAATAATGCATGCATGAGCCGAATCTCTCTTTTTCCTCTCTCACATTTATTTTATCAAACACATTTTCTGGACTAAATAAGGCACATTTATCACACACATATAAAACATTAAAATATCATAACTTAGATACACACAATGCGATAACTAAAAATGGAATGTTCGATGGATATCGAAACGAGACGACTCGTAGATAAACTGCAATCCTGTTTCATCAAAATTATATCCAGTCTAATTTTTCTCCTATACATTTTCGTATTATCGCGCAGTCTTCTTAAACATGTGCAAGCTCTTCTTTTTCTACATTCACATTTTTTTAACACACTTGTCATCATGTGGTGACCCATCGCTGGCCAAGCACATCTTGAAGCCGAACACCTATTGATATTCTGCTTGAGCGTTTTTTTCATGCTATTCACGGCAACAGGACTTAGTGAGTCTCAAACCAAGCACTTTACTTCAGATATTGGATTTCTTCATTCAGCTTCTTTCTATGTAAAAATACGACGACATTCCACGTGCAAAATATCCAGGAATGATGGCGACTGCACACACACTCATTAACACGACATCAGGCAGCAAGAGGGGAAAGAGAAAAGAGAAAGACAAACTAGTCCTTCCAGTTTTTATACACTTCTACGCACGTGGCCGCGCGGGATAACGATACAAGAATTAATGCTGCCACAGTGTTCACTGTGAGAATTCTGTGTTCTCACAGTATTGAATTCTTATATTGCTTTAAAATATGTCAATGTATTCTTGATTACCTACGATGAGAAGAATGAGTGCAAGTAGTACATTATGCATAAATTGTATATTTTATAAGTTTTATATGGAAAGATATTCCCCCACAAAATTTTTAAACATCTTCTATTCAAAACTTATTATGGAACCATATCCATTGAAAAAACTGCATTTTTATCTTGTGAGCTTATTGGCATCAAGAGACTTTAAAAAATTTTTCATTCAACTTCAACTGTTTTTGTGAAAGGACTTTAATTTCAATGGACATTTTGAGGAAAATTCAGGCTTTTATGATTGTAATTTATTATTTATTATCTTCTTCTTCCATATATTATTGTTTTATAGTTCTAAATTAGATATGTAGTTATAAAATATATGTTTATTTATAAATCATAGGTTCCATTGTAAAAATTATATAATTAAGCATTTTCTAATTATATGAGAAAGATCATGATTTATGATTGGGCATAGTTAAAGCCCGTAAGCTATGTCCTGGATGTTTTTCTTCATGTCTTTCCTCATATTCTAAATTTTTCTTGCTTCACTAATGTACTAATGCTTTTCTTTCCTGGCCTCTTGTTTTGAGGGGAGGGGAGATGTAAAATATAAAAAATATGATGGCTTTGCTCTACCTGAACAGGCAACCTGTAATTAACTTTCCGAAATTTCAGAGTCTCTCTCCTAGACCAGTATTTTCGAGAACATTCTGGCATGTTACGTAACCACTGCTATAAATGAACTTTTTGTGCCATTTTTTGTCAAATTGCTTTTCTCTGCCTGCTGCTGTAACATCTTTCTGCTGCCGCTTTGACTTTCTTTGTTTGAATAATATGATGCAGTAATCGTATTCAGTATAAATTACTATCGCATATGTAATCTTGAATGATCTGCCATTTGCCTTAAATAAAATATGGAGCTAAAAAGTGAAATTCTTCTTGTCGTCGTTGGATGTCTTACTTACACTCAGCCTCAACTATGTCTGGAATTCTGATCTGACCAAATTGCCAAGTTTCACTCATGTGCCAGACTGTCACAATATTGCATATATGTATATATTATAAACGTACACTGCTTTTAAAAACAAAAATCCTATCCAAGTAAAAAAAAACCCTTCTTCCTTTTTTTTTTTCAACCTTTAGCTTTATTTTTATATATCATATATGACAGTACAAAGTCCAAGATCAAAAACGTTGGAACAGTGAAATTCTGTGTTTCAGAAATTTCCTGATTTTAGATTATCAGTTTACCTCAAGTAAAGATGACATGTAGATATTATAAAATTTAAACTATGGTGTAGTTGTTTATGAAATAAGGAGGCTTTTATGCTTTTAACCCGGGAGCACACACGCTCATATGAGGTTAACCTTTTAACTGCTGCGGGCGTATATATACGCCTTGCTCAGCCGATGCCTTAACTGCCCCAGGCGTATATATACGTCCTTCCAAACTGCTATCATTTGCTTTGCGCTGCTACACCTAAAATTATTCGCAAAGTTAACGCATCGGCTGCGCATCTGGGGCAGTTAACGCATCGGCTGAGCAAGGCGTATATATACGCCCGCGGCAGTTAAGGGGTTAAGCAAGTGCACACACTGGGTCCAAAAGACCTGATTCGTGTTTTCTGAAGAAAATATTGTAAATCTTCAGAAAAAGGTGTTACATCTATGCCAATATCAAGTTTTATGATCAAATATAAAAAAAAATATGCACATTAAAATTTTTAATTTCTCCAAGTGCTTTTATGAAATAAAATTCCTTAAAAGAATAGGAAATCCTATTACATATTAGCCTAGAAAAAAAAATAGTATATCTTTACTCTGTATCGATTCTTATTTTTTTGATTAGCGCTATAGACACAGAACAAATGAACAGATGTTAGCAGCACATTGAAGAAAGTGTTTTCTTGTGTTGTAAATACAAATATTTTTCACATTGGGTGAAGTGCGCTTTTGTTTTTGTGTGCTTTTTCGCTGTGAAAACATTTTTTTCCCTTTTCTTTCTTTCTTTTGTTTACATCCCCCCAATAAAACAATTTATATCATTCTCAGTCTCCTTCGTTGTAAGATAAATTATGCAGTATGTTTGCCACGTTCTGTACTATCACAAACCAATTATGTAATAGTCACACAAACAGACGCGCTGATCAAAATCAACACTCCGAATCAAAGCACTAGTGAAAAAACTTTGGAAACATAAGGAGGTTGACCTAAAACATGAATACACTGGACTTCAACAACTTGTGTGATATAAGCTTGCTTTGAGAAAGGTTTGTTTAATCGCGAGGGTCCTTTGGACCCAGTGTGAATACTCGCAGGTTAAGGGAATCAGAATTTATAAAAAAAAGCTGAATATTTGTTTGTTTCCTACTTGTCTTCTGCAGGAATCTTGGTGAAAAACAAATGGTTAATGATCTGCTTTTTCAATCAAAATAGTAGTTTTTATCTGTAAAATATTCATTATGCTAATTATTTTCAATCTTCCTTCAATGGAATAAGAAGTATACGTCATACTTACGGCATTATTAGGAGCTGTTCCTGAACTGTGGCCATCAGAAAGAATCTGTTTAATTTTCGAGTATGGTTTTAGACGTGTATGTTTTTAATGAATATCTAGCCAAATTACATCAAATAGAATAGTAAGTAGAATTTTCCATATGTGCACTTTCTATAATATTCAAAATGTACGACAAAATAAAGTTGCTGTTTTTCTCAATTTTGAAATCGCACTTTGTTAAGCCCAAATTGTACCTGTGCACTCTTCATTCTCTTTGCAGATCCTGCTTTGGCTCCAGAATTAGAAAGTTGTAAAAGAATTAGGCTGATCAGAGGTCTTCACCTCTTCACTCCAGACGCTGGTTTTATTTGCAGTTAATCTTTCATGTCTAAATGTGCAAATGAATGTGGGGGAACACTATGTAATTTAAGTGAATTGTATATCAAGTTTCATTCCTATCATGTTATTATCTTTCTAAGACGAATTTTGTGGATCTTCTGTTAGCTGGGGGCACCTATTTTCCTGAGTTTTAAAATTTACTACATTTTAAAGTTTATTGATCGTTTCATTGCTACAGTTTTCTAGTATTGCTTGTGAATTTGTTACCCCCTTTTTTATGATTATGTTTGAATGTAATCGAGGTTCAGGTATCTCTTTTCTCCTTTGCTAATTCTTAAATCCATCCACATGTATTATCTTAAAAAGAATTAGAAAGACATAATCTAAAATTCAGACTGTAATTTTGATAAGACAGCTGTGATAATATAGCCTGAAAAAATTATAATTTGGTTCAAATTAGTTAAGGAAGAGCACAATTTGCTGTGCTAATTAAAATTGGGTTCTTCCAAATCTCACTCTTTCTCTCTTCCTGCTGTTATGGCTGCAAACGACAACCAGTACAATCAAATACCGAAAATCCACCAACTCCTGAAATCCACATTGCCTCTCAAAATATAAACATTCAGTTTCCAGAAACCACAACATTGAGTACGAAATATTAAAGAAAGAATACTTACCGAATAATGACGTTATAATTACCGAATAATAATGAGTCATAACAGAAATACAAAATTATTGACATGAAAAAATAAAATAAATAAGATAAAAGTTTTTTCTCTCTAATCTGCATCGAGGTAAAAAAAGCAGACGATTCACTCAACTCTTCGTTCAAGTTCACGATTCACGTTGTATTTTCTGAGCTTTGTTATTTCATGAGATTGTTTAGTCCTGCCTTTTTTTATCTGGATATTGTGTGGATAAATTAAGAATATTTTTAATTTCAGCCCTTGTTAATATAATGACAGATAAGAACGCACTCATGATTTTACTGCTTGCAACATTGAAAAACGAAACACATTGCATTGACGGTAACGCAAAAAGTGCAAATTCTGCAAAAGATGGAGGCTGCGACACAGTTGTGTATGATATACAGAAAAAATAAAGAAAAGCTGTTGAAATTTTACAGCAACAGTGATTCTAACATTAGAATCCGAAACCGGAAATCTTTGCATGAGGCGAAATCGGCAAACCTCGATGCTGTGTACATATAATACAATGAATAATATAATCAATTTATATATGTAATAATAATTTAATGCATATAATAAATTATTACAATAATGTATGTAATAATTTAATTAAATGTATATAATACTCCTTATTTATTTGCACTTTTAGTCTGAATATTATGCTTTATCTTTTCTCTCCTGAAATCCGCAAAATCCTAAAATCCGCACTACCTCTGGTCCCAAGCTTTGTGGATTTCTGGACTTCTACTGTATTGGCAACATTCCATTCTGAATAAATATATGTTGGGTGTTCACTTATTGATTAGGTCAAAGAGAAAAATATTAACCCCCCAAAATTCTACTACTGCTGAAAGATCAAAAGTGGGGTCAGTCAGTGTATTGTCACTAGCCACCATATGATTCCAAAGCCAGCAAATGTTTGAAAGTGGCATACAGAAATTCAGGTAGTTTTGAGAAATACCGCTTTTATAACAAATGTGCTTTTTTCTGGTCTCTCCTCCTAAATTTCATAAAATTAATTAATTATATAAAGTAAAAATAAGCAAAAAATTTGGATAATCTGCCAGTTTGCATATTGTACATCCAGATTTCGGACTTGTACTATATAAACATAAAGAGAAAATTAGATTTCAAAGTAATTTTTTTAGTCATAGAGGTGATGACTTAGATTGTTTATTTACAGGTGATACATGTTTATCTCCATCTTCATTACATATTTTGCATGAAAAAGGCTTCTGAAAATCTGATTCTTTTAAATTTTATATAATACTAATAATATTAATCATAATTGCTAAAGTTTCTGAAAATTCTTATATTTATGTATGATTTCTGTCCTGTCTGTTTACTGTATGTTATGTGTGATTTCTGTCCATTAATACTTTAACTTTTTTGGCTGGAATAATGTGTTTTTTCAATGCACAGAAACTGGGTGTGCAAGCAATTCTGTTTTTAATAAATATTTTATTAATTATGCTTTTTATTATGGTTAGATAAGAGGCAAAGCTATTTTCTAAAAAACTGAAGTATCAATATTTCAAAAATATTTCCATAGATATCCGTAGTCCATCCAAGAGTGGATCTTCTAGTTATGATGATAGTAAAGACAGTGTATCTTCTGATCAGTCTTCACCTTTTCATTCAAGGCATAGTAGTGCTTGGGAAACGCTGGTTTTATTTGCAGTTAATCTTTCACGCCTAAATGTGCAAATGAATATGGGAAATGTAATGGGAAACACTACGTAAGTTCTTAAGTAAATTACATATTAATTGTTATTGTCTTCCTTTTCCCTTAGCCAAATTCTAGGGATGTTCTGTTGAGCTGAGAGCATCCATTTTTCTGACTTTAAAATTGGTTATATTATTAGGTCAATTGATATTTTCATTGTTAACAGTTTTCTAGTATTATTTCTGAATTTGTTCCTGATTTTTTTTTAATGATTACCTTTGAATTTCACCTAGGTTCAAGTATCTCTTTTCTCCTTTAGTAATTCTTAAATTTTCCAATGTATATTGTAATTACTTAAGAAATGAAAAGAAAATTATCTAACTTCAGAAGGAAAAGATAAATGTAAGTATATCATAAAACACTGTTGCATGAACACACCATAATAAAATTGAATGCATTATGAAATATAATTCAACAAAAACACACATTAAACTTTATGTATAATGTTGCATTGTATATATAATGTTGCATATTTATATAAGCGTATTATATATAATGCTGCATATCATAATGTTGCATTATGAGCCATCACATTGTTGCATCAAATTCTGTTCCAAATTAAAACACTCAACTTTTTTCTTGAAAATGTGGTATGATCTACCTAATAAAATCTTGACATTTTTATACATTCAAACTTATGTCTTATGTACTAATAAACGACACTGAGAGAATGGGTATTAATCCAACATGATATTTATTAATTGAAATTTGGCCGCATAAAGAATACAGAAGAAATTTTATTTTGTTATGCTAGTATTAATAGGAAGTCTCCATCATTCTGTCTCCAATGAAAATAATTGCAGAAATTTGCTTCTATTTGTAACTTGCTTCTATTTCTATTCTATTTGTATTTACACCAATGTAAATTTGCTTTACATCGGTGTGTAATAATAATTCTGGCTATCCTTCATCAAGTTGCAGTTTTAAGAGACAATATTTGAGGGAACTTCTTCAAATGGAATCAACAGTTTTGAATACTATGTCCATTATTTCTTTTGTATTTAATGTTTTATTGTTTTATAATTATTGAAGACTGGAAGAGCCATGGCTGTTTCATGAGTTAAGTATTAACTCATTATAAGTTAATTTGTATATTGAAATCTCTCAGGTATAACTGACTAAAAACCACTTCGGGATTGACTTCTTAGCCATTCCTGATATAAAGTGTTCTGTCAAAACCATACATCATAGACAGTTGTAACATAAATCTTTTAACTGATTAGAAAATAGTATATTTGCCAGTTCCTATTTAGTTTTATCAGCATGGTGCAACCATGTAAGAGTGACGGAATTGGCGAAGTTACTGCCATTCGACATCAACGATCTGCACTATTCTGAAGAAGGAAGAAATTAAGAAACTTGATGTGGCCAAAGGAGTTATCGTTATTTCCAAGCACCATCCAAAACTCTTAGAAGACATCGAGAAGCTGTTGTTAGTGAGGATTAAAGAAAAGCAGTTAAAAAGTGATTCAGTGTCGGAAGCTATCATTTGCGCTGAGGCTGACCTTCCCCGAAAAACATCAGATACATTGACTGAAGATGAGATAGTATTTAAGGCAAGCCATGGATGGTTCGAAAAATTTAAAAACAGAAACGGATTTATACTGTTGCATGACATGGGGAGGCTTCGAGCTCTGATACAGCTGCTGCTGATAAATTTCGCCCAGAGTTCCTACAATTTATTACTAGTGAGGGGTTTCTTCCTCAGCAGGTGTTTAATTGTGATAAAACAAGTCTCTTTTGAAAGAAAATGCCTAAGAGGACCTGCATCATGCAGAAGGAGAAATCTGTGCCTGGCCACAAGGTGGCTCTGCATAAAATGTAAACTACGGTTATATTAGTTTACTAGTATTATTTGTTAGGAAAATTGATTTTTATGTTGATATTTTTGTGGGTATGGAACGGATTAACTAGATTTCCATTAATTTCAATGGGGAAATTTGTTTCTACATACGAGAAATTCGCTACACAAGCTCAATGCTGGAACTAATTAAACTGGTATCACGAGGTTCCACTGTACTCATTTAAGAAATCTTTTAGCTCTTGAGTTTTAGACCCAAGACCGTTTGTGTTCTATGTAACTATTGTAATACATTCGTTAAAATTACTCAGCTACATATTCAGTGGCTTCAGACATGATTAACCCTCTCACTGCATACTTTTTTAAAATCAAAATAGGTTCAAAAATTGTATAATTCTTTTATTACATATTTCAAATCTACATATATTTTAGAGATAAAATATTATACAAAAATTTTTTGTAAAAGAGTTTTCTTTCAATATAGAATTAGATCATAGAAAAGGTTGTCAGAATACTAAAATTGAAGAATAATGATATAAAAGAAAAATTTTGAAAATTAATATTGGTTAAATTATGATTTATTTTATAAAATACAAAGGCAAAACTTATATACTATACATTATCTATATCAATTTTTTCAATCAATGAAAACATATATATCAATTTTGCACCACTGTCGAACGTTTTCAATAGAAACTGAATTTTCAGATTCATCACTATCTACAGAGGAATCCGAGAAATTCTCATCAATTTCGCTATAACTATCTTCAATATGCTTGAAATCAGACTCAGAACTACTATCAGTGTCAGAAATATCATCAGGAATATAATTTATATCACTCACAAAAAGCTTCCTGCGAGACATCTTTGAGCTCTGAAAAGCGTGCTCAAAATGCTACATTACGTATTCTTGTATATTTGGCAGAAATGTGGACAACTAATGCCATCTGTTAGCCGACATCTAAATAAACAATTAAACATCACAGAAAATCTGAAAGGAAACCTTGACCAGGGAAAGAGCGGGTTGCACAGTTAAATAGACAGCAAAAATTCATCTCCACAAAAATCGCGGGTTGTGCAAAGTTTGCTGCTTCTACATTTCCCGTGGAAATTGCGGGATGTGCAGTGAGGGGGTTAAGAAAAAAATATACATTTTGTCAGTAATGTTATCTGCAGCTTCCAGTTGCTGTTTGTATTTTTTAAAAATGTTTAGCTTATTAATAATAGTACTTTTTCCAAACATATCACTGAATTCTTTTACGAATTTAAAAATATTTACAGAATCATATATGCCAGAATTATTCATAAAACTGTTATTACTGCTTTTAGCATTATTAGCAGAAGTTGTTTGCTTAGTGTTCTTAGCATTATTCTGATTAGCTGAATGTGCAGCCTCAGATGACTGGGGGGGATTGAAAAGGTTAGCTTGATTTTTAACCATTTGTGCATAAGATAGGCCTGGTTTTACTCTGTTATCTTTTTTTAATGGCTGATGGTTTATTTTAAGGGAATTTGGCTCATGCCAACTTGCTGGATTAAGGCCTTTGGAAGTTGCTGCATTTGGGTGTTTCCAGAAGACCATGTGCGCAATCAGAAGTTTTATGATGGAGAGCACATTTTACATATCTTGGATGAAAGTGAGTTTTCTGAGGAATGGCATCATTTTTGGCACTTGTGGCACTGCAGCACTTGCTTTTTTGATACGTACTTTTCATCCAAGATAGTAAAATACCTCAGGGTTTTTAAGTCATGGAAGTTATCAATCAGTTCATGTTTGACCACTTGCACCATATATAATAGTTTGCATTCTCTTGAGGTGCTGTACTTTTTTTTACCTTCCCCAAACTGTGTAAATGTATTTTTTGCCACTTTATTGTACGTTAGAAAGGGTTTAACTCTTAAGCTTAGATGTGGCCCTATGGAAAGCCATTAAAAAATGCAAACATAATTAAATAAATTAAATTAAAAGTAAAGGAATGAATAAAACAATAAAATGCATTAAATTAGTGATAAATATTTAAAAAATGAATTGAAATTCCGGAATTCATCTTATTTAGTGCTCCAGCTGGAATTACTATTTTACTCAAAGATAGAGAAGTAGTGTAGCTGATCTGCAGTGGACTCTGGCTGAATTTAAGCCATATGCTGGAAAGAAAAATTATGCAGCTCTAAAGCAGGGCAGTTACTGATGCATTTTGTGTATTTTTTCTATTAATATAGAGGGTATAATTTTTAACCGTTTGTGCTTTATTGGTTGAAATAGTATGATCTGACAATACATACAGCCGAGGATTCCTAATTATTAAACTTATGTAGTGTTTTGCAGAAGAGATTAATAATTTAGCTGCCAAATTATTGGAAAATTAAACCAGGCTAAACATTTTGGCTCATCATTTTTTTATTTAGATGCAGTTTTTGTATATTTTTATTCATTGCTCATTTGCTCATGAACTAGTGGAGATAGATTTTTTGATATCGCAATCATCAAATAATAAAGAGTTTGCCATTAAATTCCATCTTGGGAAAAATATTGTTCATAGAGGCAAACATTGTTTATAGTTATATTTTAATGCTAAACTAACACTGAATTTGTGCTGCAGCCAATGGTCATGCCAAGAGAAGAAAATACTTTAGGGTCTTGAATGTATTACCTTGAATACTGAATGTGTTCAATGTGTCTCGAATGTATTGTTAAAGTTCACATAGCTATTTCAGGCTGTCTTTACTACCACATGTATATTTAACCACAACTTCTGCTTATTAATGTAAAAGCACCAAAACACCTAAGATCACACTTTTATGTATAATTTATTATGCATGTTGTAGAATAAGAATAAATTATGCATAAGAATAAATGTTTAGTTGTAGGATATTCATTTTCTGTCACTTTATAAAGTTGAATTTTAGTTTACTTATTTTTCAGTTGGTTAACGAGGGATTTTAAATCTCAAGGAAGGCTTTCTATTGGAAGCAGTGGACATAAAAATCTTTTCCTCTCTGTTGAACTAGAAGGTTCAACCCTAGACAGCAAAGGCGGCATTGTTGGTGGAACAATTGAACTGAGTCATATTGACACTTGTAGTAAGATTATGATTTTTCTTGCCTTGTTTTTAAAATTGGTGTGTAACAGTATACAGTGTACTCTCAATTATTTTGGCTAATGCCAGGAAGCAGGTCATGGATAATTTTAAAAAATATCATAGATAATTAAATAATTAAAAAACATGAATTATCCAAACTATCAATTTTCATGCATATACTTATGTATTCTTGAAAAAAATAATGCGGACTTTATCAGTGGCTTCAACACTATGCTGAGAGATACTGCTTGTATGTTGAGGTTCTCCAATATCATATCTAACTCAAATCTTCTAAGCCATCTTGACAAGGCAGCATACCCGAATTTATTTATTTATTTATTTATTTTTTGTCTTCATATTGTTTCACTTAGGAGAACATGCCACACTGTCACAATATTTTGTGATTTTTTTTTTTTTTCTTTTTGACTCTATCATAAATTCCTATTCCATGTTGGTCGGCAAGCTTTATTGTGATTTTATCTTGTTCAGATCTTTCAATTAATATAAGTTTTTGGTTTTAATGTTAAAACAACTTTATTGCACTTTGTACTTGTAGTTGTACTAAAAATTGTTTAATTCCAAAATTTTAAATATATTTTTAAAAGAATAAGAAGAAACTGTTCAAGAAAATATGTACAAAGGAGCGTAAAATCCTGGGGATCAATCAAAACAATGCCTTTGACTATGTGCATGCAAAACAAATTGTATAAGATTATCCTTGAAACTAAAAGCTATAATTTAATGGTTTTAGAGCATTCTTGGACTTGTACATGTTTGTTTTTTACATTTTCTCACACATAACAATGAATGTGTATGCATGGGCACTGCCATGCATGGATAATCTGCACACAGATGATCGAAAGTACACTGTAATAAACTTTTACATCAAAACTTTTAGTAGAAGTTATTAGCAAATATTGGAACAGATTAAAATAATGTTTTAGTCATTTAGTGTTGGAATTTAAATTTTTTCTTCCTATTAGTGCATCTCAAAGAAGAATGGGGTCAGGAACCTGATCATACAGTAGCACTGAAGTTAGGTGCTTTGGAATCACGTTTAGATTATATGGGGACCAGTGTTCTAATGGGAAGAGTCAGCTCATTAGATATAACACTAAAAGATGAATGGAGAGTCAGTACAGTAATTAATCATGATCATATTTCGAGTCATCCTACTAAAAGGTAAAAAATTTAGGTAACACTTTTAAATATAAGGATGATATTTTACTGTAAAATTGTTTAATTATTATAGTGTTAAAATCTACATTTTTGTTAATTGTAAAAGTTAGTGTTAATTTCACCATAGGTAATTTTATATATGTAAATTTGCTATTTTCAGACCAGCGTTGATATTCATTAATGGAGAATTATCTTGGGATCAACTTCAGTTACTGATTTCGAAGTCCACTACACCAGATTTAATAAAAATGTATTCAAAGCTGGAAGAATTTTTTTCACAACAATTTCATAGTAGTAAACGGGTATTTTCTTCTTTGCAACCACGTCTTCAACGCCACTCATTAAAAAACAGATCGAGGAAATCAAAACCAACAGAAGGTACGTCTCATCAGTTTCTTGCAGTAATTAACTTAAATTTATGTCTATTTTAGTAGTTATTTTTACATTTTATTCAGCAGTGTAACACATTTGTAGTTTTAAATTTTAATGTTTATTTTTCTATATATTTATTATTTCTAATTCTATCAACGCAATAATATTTCATTTGTGAGTGCTGAAAAGTATGTAGTTCATGTTTCATGTACTTATGCAATACTTCAACTATTTTAAGTTACTAGCCACTTTCGTGGCCTACCACATAAAATAATTATTATACAAAAGAAAAAAAAACTGTACAATGATTTTAATGAATCTATCTAATGTATGTTGGAAGGACAATATGATCAGTCATTATATGAAGAGATTCCCAAGAAGTACCAGTGACATGCTTCATTATATAGCTTTCAGCTC